TTTCAGTTTTTCCTTTTTAATAAATTTACAGACATTTCAAAAATTCTGTTTTCACTTTGTCCTTATGGGATACTGAGTGTAGATTAATGAGAAAAAAAATGAATTTGAATGACTAATATCAGGCTGCAACATAACAAAATTGAAAAAAGTGAAGGCGGTCTAAATACTTTCTGAATGCACTGTAGCTTGTATTGTGATGTCAGAATGCATATCTCATCATTTTGATATCTGTACGATCAGATATAGATGTCTGTGATTAAAATCTTTCTTACAGACCAGAATGAAGCTTTATACATAAAACTGATTGTCCATTGCAGTACAAAGAGCCCCACCCCCACCCCACTCTTTCTCTCTCTTTATTTATGCTCCAAGTTCTAGGCTTTTTCCTCCTGGCTTCCAAATTAATAGATATTTGGCTAGCCTCTTGATGGCTCTGAGAGTCAGCAAAGATACATTTACATTACAGTTCTCTCTAGTCTAGGAACTGCTAGCCCCAACTATTACATGATCCATATAATTAGATTACACATTAATTTTACTGTATTGAACTACAGTCTGATATTTAAATCTTTTGACTTGTTTTCTAGGCACAGCATAACACAAGAATGCTTGCAACTTACGCAGCCATTGATCCAAGAGTGCAGTACTTGGGATACACAATGAAAGTTTTTGCAAAGGTAAATTACAAGTAATGGTATGAATTTAAAATGCAAGCTGTGTGTGTTCAACAGTGCCTCCTCCAAACAATTGATGCTAATTCAAGTATTGGTTATTTTTTAATGGTACTAAAAGTTATGGTAAATGCTCTGTTGAATTGTTGAAAGGTTGTACAGTTGTATATCAGCTATGCTGTTGGATTTAGATACACTAGTGAATGTTATGCAGATTCAGTTGGCTTGAACAACATATCAAGGGCCAAACTCCCAAAGCAGGTAGGATTAGAAGCCATTTTAGGACTGGGGTTTGGGAACTTTAAGCAGTCAGGTGGGTATCTTAAAAAACTGTAAGGCTTGAGACACCCATGTTCCCCTTAAAATTCCTAAAAAATGCAAAAAAAAAAAAAATCACCCTAAAGTGATGGAAGTGAGCTGTATATATCTAGGGCACATTTTTTGCATCTTGTACAAGTGTGTCATTTGCATACTTTTCTTGTGAATCCAAATTCTCTTTGTCTTCTAATTATAGATAATTATCATTTGGGTCTAGAAATTTGGTGGTGTTATTGTTAGCTGCCTTTTGACATGGTTTTAATAGACTGCTAGTATTTTCCTGTGTCGGGAGCTTAATCAAAATGAAATATATAGAAATCAGGATCCAAAGCAGGGCTTTGAACAATTTTCCTTTGTGATCTCCACTTACATTCATATGCAAACTTGCACTTGAAGGGCGCTTTCACAAAAGTGTGATTTGCTAAAGTTTCATTAATTTGGGAAATAGCTACTTCTGAGTATGGATTAATTAGCTAGAATGACCATTCAAACTCAGATGAAATTAGAGTAATTAGCTCAGTCATTCAAGCTATAAAAATGTACAGGTGAAACTCAAAAAATTAGAATATCGTGCAAATGTTCATTT